TCATTTTGATTCAAAATCATATTGGGCCATTTTCTAGCAGAAACCGTTCCCCGTCCTTTAGCAACTAAGTTATTCGTAGTATTGATTTTATTTAACAGAGCACAAGCATACGAACAAGCAGCGCAACAAGGATAAAAAAATATAACAACAAAAAATAAAAGTAAAACGAAAAGGCGATAAAATAAGTTTATACATTCATTAAAATACATTCCACCATAAATAACAGACCATCCTCACCACCATCTAAACAGAGAAATAAAACAGGAAACCCGAGGTTGAATAAAACGTCGCTGAATCCAAAGTTCAGCACATTTTTATTTTTTGGCTTTTTTATACATTTCCTGTTTCTCCATCCCTTTAAAAAGCTAAGCGCATACTAACACCAAATCATCGCTAAAAACCCATTTTCAGTCAAGGGTCAGTAAATCGAAGACGAACGATACTTGTACCATATTCGGGATCAGCGTGAAAAACTGCATCGAATGATGTATAACTCAACTAGTTTTGGTCGCTCGATTTTGAATCCTAGAAATTTCTTAGTTTTTGAGATTCACACAAACAATTTCTTGCTGAAAATTTGAATTTCAAGATAAAGTAACCTGAACGAGTCGAAACATGTTTCTTATAGGTTTCCGACAATGCTCTTTCCAGTGATATCGTTTTCAAATATTGAGAGAGTTTTCTGAAGGGTTTTCCAGAGACCGGATCTCTGGAAAACTCCTTAGAAAACTTTTTCAAAACCCAAATCTTATGCCATTAGAAAGAGGATCATGAAAAACCTATAAAAAAATGGTTGATGAAATTTTAGTTCACTCATAAAGCTAAAGTCCGCCTGCTCTAGCAAAAAATGCCCACTGTGTACTATCACCTTAGTATATTCATAAAATTCAATTTATCGATGAATGATAATGAGCACATACTCTAAAATTATCGTCATGCCTAAGCAGATAGCAATAAAATATATGATAACAAAAGTAAAATCGATCGTGACGTAGTGAATTAAAATCCTCTGGCCAGGTTCCGTCAATACGTTTAGTATCTATTTGTTTAAACTATAAGCCATGGATGTTTTCCAAAAATTCTTCATTTTTAAGACATGTAATCTGCCATTTATATTCAGTGAAAATTCAGTTGTAATCAATCTTACTTTTATTCAAACTGTATAATAAATTAGTTGGATTTTGGTTGTTAGAAGTGCACTACTCACGCCATATAGGAAGAAAAATAAAATGAAACGACACGTATTACTAATTGCACAGCGCGAAATCATACTCTGCTGACTCATACATAGAAAGATAAACGCGTGCTGTCAGTCGCGTGTGAGTAAATTTTAAGTGTATGAATTATTTTCTTAGTCATAGAACTAAAATCGTTATATTACAGTCCATCGCAAAAAAGAAATTCTGTGTTTTTAGTTGTTATCGTGCCAAAGTATGTCAGTCGATTAAATTACTTCACTTTGCCACATACTTTTAGTCACATTTTACACCTTCTTAAAGAAAACATGTTTAGGGAAGGATGACTGTGTGTTTGAAAACACAACGAAAACTACTATTCGTTTGAAAATATAGTATCTGCGGACGTTGTCTGAACAGTGCTCGATAGAAAAGAAATTGAGATCTACAGCTTACATTACTACAACTTAGAACTAATTAAATTTAACATGTATACTGTTTTATATAGCATTTTTGGTGCTGCAGTTTATCTAGGCCTAAATTCTCCTCTTAAGTACAATAACCATACTCATTTTACGTATTACTTTACAAAAAACTACAAAGTGGTATACCTAAAGCCAAGACTTTATTACTAGTTCAGTTTAGTTAATTAAATGTATCGTTTTCTTTAGTACAATCATCATTTTGAGCATTAAATAGACTTATCAAAATAGACTATTTAAAGTTATCAACAAGGGGGTTAAAATTTCACTTCGGACTTCAGATCCAGGTCCAAGTTTAGGTTAGAGTTATGTCAGGACTCATGTATGAAAACGGTAAGTCCATGTCAAAAGGTCTGAGCTCATCTGTAACTTGCTCATTTTTTAGAATTAGAGTGAACCGCCTCGAAATTAGGATCAGTCAAACTTTATATTATACGTTTGGACCTGGATCTATCAAGTCATAGGTTGAGGTTCAGGTCTACCGTCTCTATCTAGTATATTCAGAAAAATTTTAAAAAATTTAGGCAAACGAAAATGAAGCATACATCGGGGGTTTCATTTTCAACAGAAACAGACTTTGCCGCTTTCCTCCCTCAAATGAATATGAATTTTTGCAGAAGTCGATACGGACTACATAGATGACATAGTGAAATCTTGCTTTCAATCTGGCTCTCAAAAGACAGTAGAATTCGGTAACCTCTAAATTCGTGAAGAAAGTCCTTACTACAGTGGTTGAAATCTCATGGAATATCCTACGGATCAGTAAACTTAAAATGAAATCCAATTCTTTGATTAAATGATGCATTGTGATCACTTTTCTGTGTTCTTTGCGGCTTCGAACAACAGTGTTTTTGTGCTTTGCCAAATGAGTGTACTCATATAGGCTGTTATGCATTTCTTCTTTCTTCTCTTTAACAGATTCTGAATCAGAAGAGAGAAACATGTTTTCGTCTTTTTTGACCAAACAGAAGTATAGTCTATAATAGATAACAAATACTGAAAAAGAAAGTAAGGTGTAGAACAGAACAAAAATAGACAAAATGTGTTCTACTTGAAGATAAGAAACCGAATATGTGTGAGACGTTAATGTTTAATGTTCCACGTTAATGTTTATACGAGTTATTTTGTCATATTATGTCTATTATGTCTGACAAATTACGTCGGCTATTGTTGACCATTACAAACGATTTAAGTGATGAACAAAAGGGCAACTTCTTATTTCTCATAGGAGATGATGTTCCACGATCTCATAAAGGTCAAGCATTAACAGAAGTGTTTGATACTTTGATAGTCGGACATAAGGTCACATGGGAGGATTGTTCATATCTAATTGATAAAATGGATGATATTGGTCGCATTGATTTGAAACAAAGAATAGCCGATCGAAGTATGAGTACATTTATATTTTTCACATTCGTATATTCAGATCTATACCCGAAACAAAAGAGATGACAGATTTTGTCATCAGCAAACGATAATCCAAGTTTATATAACATGATGAGGTTGAAGTACTGGAATGATTCAAAATAATGTAAAAGCACCTTGTCCGTTGTGTTCAAAAAGACTAGAAACTAGTCCAACTCTTGAACAAATCAATAGCCATACGTTCATTTAAAAAATTTAATGATAAATTTTGACGTTTTCATCGGTTTTTCTCTTGTATACTTTTTTAATCCTCTGCGGTCAAATTTTGGCTGCGGTAAAGTAATTTTTTATTTTTATATGGATGTCTGTCATTTCACAGACTAATGGACATCTAACTAACGTCTTTGTTCTTTGTCGAGATATGGTAACAACAATCAGCACGTCGTCCACTGGAATTAGTAGCAATAGTCCAACAAAATCCTCAACATCAGATTTCCAGCCAGAAAGAGCATCAGCCCCGACTATATTAGATGAGTTAATGGCTGATAATGAAGAAGATGCCATACAACTAAGAGGTATTTCTTTTTAAATATACATATGTCGAATGATATTATGAAAATTTTTTAATCCTATCTCGCTTAGGTATGAATGACGGTACTAATGACTGTACTAAATTTTCGTACGAAGTTTAGGACAGTTACGGTTAACTGTAACTGCAAAACTGTTACACTAATACAGTTAAAGACTATGGCAGTTAAAACTGATACATTTGATAACCGAAATTGATCATAACTGTCAGAAAAAATTTATATTTAAACTATAAATAAAGTTTTTGATCTTTTCGAAGCCATAAATCAGAAAAAAGTTCTGTTCAAATTATTGTCTTTAAATTTTGTGTTGAGGGTAACCCAGCAGAGACCTGACCCCCAACCCGACCCGATAACGTTTTACTCTTTTGTTTTGTTCTTAAGTTTATGTCTTTTTATTTATCTATTTGTTTAGCGGAGGGCATCGCATTACAGGCGAGTGACCTTTTGCTAATAGTCTTCTAATACTGCAGAAAATCTGAGCGTTATATCTCTCTAAATTCGCAATATCTCCTCTAATCAAAGAGAAATGTTATCATTGAAAATTGAACGGTTTGGAAAAACATTGTTTTCCTTCAAGAAGAAAAGTTCAATAAAAAGCGAATTTAGGAAGATATAACGCACGGATTTTCTGTAATGTTAGCAGACTATTAGCGAAAGTACAGAAGAAAATTTCACTTCTTAATTCTTTGTTTTGACTGGGTTACAAAATTATTACTGTTACTACATACAGTGTTCCTTTAGAACAAAACAATTCATAACTTTGAAAGAACTGATATGGATCCTCCTTTAAGGGTTTTTATCCGCTCATTTTCCTCTATTAACCGATATAATATCATTAAAAACAGAGTGGGACATCTGACGACCTTGCTTCGTTACTAAATGCAGTTGTAATGAAATAAGTATTTCAACTCAAAATTCCAGTAGAGTTAACTTTTCAACGAGTAATACAAAATTGAAATTATTATCTATATTTAAAATTGCGCCGCAAAATATTCAGCCCAAACTCGACCCGACCCTAGGGTCGGATCGGGTTGCAGGTCTCTACATCCCTGCAAAAAAATTTTTACTGCCACTTATTCGGCACCGATGTGCACCAGTGTCAGAATGATTTTCAAGTTTCGCACTAATGCGCATCCGTGCGGATTGTCCTACAAAAAAGTTTCAGTTCGGCACTGGTAAAAATCAGTGTGGCATTGCTAGTGCGCACCCGTGTTCAGCAAGTGCTAATTGGCACCCTTGCCAAGCAGTGCCCATATATTTATATCAGAAAAGTGTCACACTGGTAAAAATCAGTACCACATTGAAACTTATTTAGTGAATTCTTTATCATAGTTGCATTTTCTTAATTAAAGTACAGCACTGATATGTACCGGTACTACGTTGGCATGCTGTAACCGTGCGGCACTGCGTCAGCACTTCTCTTATGAGAAGGAAGGAATCACATTCGAAACATTACAAGTATACTGAGGTGTTTATTCACAGTAGTAACTTACTTCTTTTAAACAATAAAGATAATCCATTAGATCAATATTTCATTTGTTTCGTAACCATTCTCCTTCTTATAAAAAATAAAGGTTAGAACAACTACAGACATACAAAACATTACTGACATATACCCGGGACGTTCAAAACGGCCAAGTTAACGACGTGTTAACGTCCCGTTAAGCAGAGATGAGAGAGTACGAGTAAACAATCGTACTCGAGCATACTCGAATCCAAACTTTAGATACTCGGACCCGCCACTAAATACTCGTAGTCATACTCGAAAAAGTGTGTACCTGCCTACCTCTGCCGTTAAGTCTACGTTAATGAGCCGTAAACATACGGTTTTTATACCGTTAACTAGGACCGTATTATGGCCCGTTTTTGCACCATTTACGGGCCGTCTTTAAGGAGAGAAGCTGCTTAGAACTGCGCCCTAATGACTTTTTTTCTCAAGCGCATACCTGAAGAAACTCAGGCCCAGTTTTGTAGATGGTTTTTAACTCGTTATGCTTGATTAAGCCTGTTTTACTCGCACCTTATTTTGAGAACATGGTGGAATCAATTTTTAACGTTTTCGTCGACCAGATGATGCTTGCATCACGCCATAATCTCTATCTGAAAAGGAAAAATCAATATTAACACAGAGTCAGTGGAAGTACACAGCAATTTCGGCCGGCTGTTCTTCTACTGTACTTTAAGAACAGTTTCGGCCCTGGCAAAGGCCTCGTCAGGAAGGTTCTACGTAGAATTAGATAGTGCTAATACGTGACCAAAACCTAAACATCAATAACTTCTTCTCCAGTAAAAATAGTATCCGTGAAACTCCTATTGTGTACTATTTAATATTGGAAAATACATTTCTTTTGATTAGCATTTAATTTGCCGATGCTCAAAAAACGTTTATTTCTGCCGTGGAAGTGAAAAAAATAGTGAGAAGCGCTTTTTTAGTTACATTAAAAAAAAATTGATTTTCGATGAGTTTTTCGTATTTTTTGAAGTGCCAATTTGGACAAAAAATTTTTTTGTCGGAAACAGTGTAAAATGTAGCTGAAGTGTTTGCCATAGCTAATGACACTCTGGAATAGAGAGTCGATGACGGTGGTTCAGAATTTTTGTGCGACCTTTATGTAGTAAGATATGGATCAAAACTTTTCGACTATAACATCCACGAGCTCCATACGTAGTTATCAAATGATGTAAGGGAAAATGAGTTCCAAAATCAAAACAAAGGAATAGAAAATGTTCGTCGTCTCACGCTCTACAAAACCTGCTCGTTAAAACATAAAAATTTTCATGGGCAGATTTGTGGTCTTATCCGGCGGGGTCCTTTATTGATAGAGAATCCTGGTGAAAAATTAACTGGTTTCGATGTCAATTTCAAAGACTTCAAACTTATGAATGTTAGATTTTAGTTGAATAAATGTCTAATTCAGTTTTTCTTACTTTCAAAACGTTAACACAAGAAATCGTTTTTGAGTTAAGAAAGTTTTAGTTTTTTTGTCTTTCTTACAATTTGCTTAGTTTTCTTGATTGAAGTTCTGAAATTAAGTTTAAGTATGATTTTGTAGAGTATTTCGCGGCGCATCTTTTAAAAAAATATTAACCTTAAGGTCTTAAATGAACACGAGAAAAACAGATAGTACTGAGAGGCTCATTTTTTATCGCCCACTCGGTACCTCATAAAAGGTCAAATTCATTTATTTTAATTATTTATTTAAAGCAATCTGAAACAGTAGACCTATCTTTTGTATATATCATACGCAATCTATATGTATGTCTGAACGTGCGGACCGTATAGATTATTACTGTTTAAATTATTAAAAATTTATTTGTTTGAAGTTTGCCATTTAATTTTTTTTAAAAGATATAACAGTTAAGGAGTTAAAACTTAAAATTTCTCAAAAATAAATCATAAAAAGGAATTCAACATATTAAATAACCTATGAGGTGCAAAAATTTTAGAAAACGTTCGGTTTTGCTATTAAAAAGAGCAAAAACTACAAACTTAGATGTATTTTAAACCTAAGCAAGACAACATGTTAGTTAGACTTGTGAATGCGTTCAAAAATGTTTTAATATTACTCTCTTGCTGTTTAAATGAAAATACATCACTTTACTTTCTTTTTCTTTGTAGTAAAGTGATGTAATTTTTAACCCTTTGGGGACGGGTGACGTTTTAAAACGTCATTAAAACGTCATTAAAACGTCAAAAATCGGAATAAGTCGTGTTTTCCAAAACTTTCTTTTGAAGAAACGTCTCTCAAAACTAGATCATAATCAAATTTCAAATATATCATCTTATGCAGTTTTTGAC